TCCTCTTCTTTCTATCATCTCAAGAGGAATACTATGATAGATATTATTTACAACAAATAACCCCACTCCTTCAACAAGTTTCTCTCGTAATAATAACCTGGCAGAATTTGTCCATTATTTAGCCTCCATTCTAAAAGACGTGTCACGTGACTCGTGACGTGACGTGTCACGGACGTGTCACGTGACGAGAATGACGCAGACACCGTGTGTATTACAACAATAATTATTAAACACATTTTGTTTGGATACTCACAAAACTAGTGTATTTCAAAACGATCCTCCCACTCAAAATGTACAGAGTAACCGGATCCAGAGCTGTGGTAATCTACTGAACCTATTGTGCTGTACTAGGTCACGGACTTTAGGAGTGTTCCAGAATGTTGTTCTGGAGTTTGGGGTGTCGTTTTAAACAGGGTGACGTTGGTTAGGGTGTCGTTGTAAACAGGGTGACGTTGGTTAGGGTGTCGTTGTAAAGCAACAGTAACGTTACTATCATTACCATCACTTCATGTGCCAAGGAGATTAAGAATATGATATTGTTGACATAATCTCCCCTCCTTGCTATACTTGTAAACAGGTCCAAACGATGCTCTGTGATTCCTCATTTGGCTAAACCTGTCACGTGGGGGAAATGCAGCGATCTGATTGGTTGTTGGTTGTTCGGTGGGCAGACGTAACTCTTAAATAGTTTAGATACGTCGTCTACTCCGTCTAGACATTTTACGTCTCACTGACTAATAAAAATATGTCTCAAATATCAGTAACTTTTGCTAAATATCATAAGATAGCCGCAGTTTGGTCATGTGATCTGAAAACATGTCACGTGATCTGGGGACACCAATCAGGTCGCTAGTATGCCGTCACGTGATGTTTCCTTTCCAAACGTATTATGGTATTCTTCTGTATTAAACGGTGCGCCGTAAGGTCTATTTTTGGGATACCATGTATTTTATTGACCCGGACGACGGACCCGGCTGAGAACTTGTAAGATGAGTTTCCAACTGCATATCTAACGGGATGTTGCTAATAGGTCACTAAAATGTGTTGAAGATAACACAAATCACGGGATTTACCTTCTTTGGAAAGTCACGTGACTTATATTTCTCACGTACTTCCACACTGTTTTGTTCCACAGAACGTGAGATAAAATTATTTGGAAATGGAGAAACTACACACACACATTACGGGGTAGGAGCTGGTGGTGGTAGGCTCCATTTTCTTTCTTCTCTGAACACTCACTACTTTCAGGGAGCACCATCGGAAGTGTAGCCAGATCAATCTCACCACCATGGCAACTTTGAATCACGTGACCATGACAACAAACAATAAGCTCACAGAATTATGCCCACATGACTAATCTCGGCCAATGAGCGATGAGCACGGTGGGAGCAATTATCGATATTGTTTAACATGGTGGCGCTGTGGACTGAGGGTTAAGAGCGGAGAGATAGAAGGAGAGAGCGCTATAAATAGCTCCCTCTCTCTCTCTCTCTCTCTCTCTCTCTCTCTCTCTCTCTCTCTCTCTCTCTCTCTCTCTCTCTCTCTCTCTCTCTCTCTCTCTCTCTCTCTCTCTCTCTCTCTCTCTCTCTCTCTTCTCTGCTGCTGCTGTGGGGTATAATATATTGTGGTGTACTAATTTACTGTGGGTGTATGAGCGGTACACTCCTATAACATGTACATAAGCTCCAAAACGTTTAGCTGCTGGTCGTTATCATGAGAGTTGAGTGTAACGAGTAACGTTACACTGTTACGAGTGTAACACTGTACTTACACGTGGTCTGCAACACTCATCAGTTATCAAGATCGGGCCCAGCTGAGGGGCTGAGATAATAATGCATCCACAAACTTTGTGGATGTAAAATGTATTTCCTTTATAATTATTGTGATGTCGTCCTGTTGGAATTACACGAATAAGGATTGGGGGTAACATTTAACTCTTTATTGGACCCTGCTCGGCCTCCTTAAAGTTGCCTGCTTCAAGATGTGTACAGAACAGTTTCCAGTAAATGAAGTGCTTTTCCCCCCCCTCCAGCTTACCACTCGCAAATAGAGTTGCTGTAAGCAGGCTAGTTGTTGGCCGAGTTGCTTAAGAGTATGGTTAAGGTAGGAGTGTCCCCTGGTACAGTGAATTTAAGTAGCTATCTGTCCTCTACACTGTGAGTTTACACTGGTACTAGCAGTTTCTCGGGAACTGTTTGATCAGCCCATCAATCCATCCAGTGCGGCGCTCTAGGAATATAATGAGACCCAGAGGATGTTTCATTAGCCAATGGTAAATATATGCAGCCAATTTCAAGTTGTTGACATGGATTTCTTAAGTTTAAGTCGGGCAGTGAGAAAGCACTGCCAAACTTATTGGGCGCTTCCCTGTTCGAAATTTTAGTATTTCGAATTATTAGTAAAATAGTAAGATAGTCCAGCTCTTACTACTTTTAAACCTTACCAACTAGCCTTGCAGAGATGTTGAATAAGAGCCAACTCTCACTGCAAGCTTTGCCGTCAAGGCAGTTACCTGATCATTATATCCTTATATTATATAGTTATATATTCGAGCAATGATCTTGAATTTCTCAGTAATTCTTTTGCTCTGAATATATAGGAAAATTCTCTGGAACAAGCTTGAGTACTAGGTACTGGTAGTAAATTGGGTCATTCAGCTCAATGCCGTATTTTATTGTCACAAACATGAACATCCAAATATTTGATAAGGAAATATACCCCAGACAATCGAATCTCTAAAACGAAAATTTTTGAAAAACAAAGCCTTTTCTGAACTCCGGTTCTTACTAACTTTACAACTTTCACATCATTTAGTCTCTGTCCAATCGATTTGTTCCCGTCACCAATGTTATTATTATGCAAGTATTGCTCTTGTAATAAGTCTAGACTTCACCTTAAAAATAGGAACACTGTTAAGCTTCCCCAGTCTTTCCTATCTACCATATAATTGATAAATCTTGTACCTCCTCGCTTTAGGCTGCTCTATCCGCAAATCATATTAACCTTTTAAAATACTGCCTTTAAGTCCGACAGTTGTATTTTAATTTTTGTAATGACAAATTTAAAACGGCGTATCGGCTGGCTGGTTAGGAGCTTTAGGGCGATTAGAGCGCATCAGTGAGATTAAATGTTCGAGAATATAATGCTCATGATGTTGGTACTTGAATCCGGTCTGAATGTTAAGTCTAAATATTCTTATTCGGACACGCGTAATATTGGGAGTTTGATCTATATAAGTTCTTGATATGACGTATTTAATTTATTCGCACGTGGAGTAAGATTAAGTAACGAAACCATAGAATCTAACAATCAATATCACAAGATACTACTGGCGTGGCAATCGTAATGATATCATTGTATACACTCATACGAGTAAGACCACACGTACAGAATTTCAATAGAATTGGAGGTACAAAGCAATGTCCGGTTCCAATGTCCGGTTCCAATGTCCGTTACCACCGCCGTGATATCGCCATATTTTCGTAAGATCCTGTAACTCACCTAGATACCCTGACGTGACCCACTACTTCCGTCCATCTCTGATATACAGGAAACCAAGTAGGTAGATAAGTTACAGAGTATTTAATCTCCGGGCTGCTGGCTGTACCGTGTGACCGCTCTTTGTGTGATGACGTCACACTTATTTGGTCACAGAGCCGTGAGCCTATCTGAGCCAGGGGAACGTGCGTCCGTCACGAGCTTGTTATCGAATTTCGGGGTAAGTCTTCTCAAGTTACCCCCGTAAATCAGAGAACCCCCATTGTGTAGCAAGGTACGAGGGATGTTTGTTATATTTATACCGGCCTGACTGACCTTACACTACTAGCTCCCAGACTTATTTCCCTGACCGCAACCCTCCACTAGCATGTAGATATTAAACAAAGGAGAGTGAGCTGTTAGCCTGTTGTCGTGCTGTGCGGGTCGCACAATGAGACTCCTTTCTCTTTCATCCGCCCTGTAAAATTAATCCATTGGCTAGCGGTTAGGCTACGTGACCATTTACTGTGATACATGTATGAGAAGTCCTAGACTTGAGGCGACGATGTTTCCCGGTTTGTTGGAGTGTGTAATGTGTGCAGTTTTAGTCTCCAATTTAACTCCGAGCCACTTTTTTCGTTTATAAATAGTGAAAAAACCAAGAAATTAAAGCACAGCAGGTTGGTATCAGTGTCGTGAAAGTATTAAAAGTTTGTCATTGACAACAGTTAGTAAAATGCGCGTCATGCGCGCGCGCGTTCTCTGTCATAAATCAAGAGGCTTGCATATAATGAACATATTGACACGGGTGCAGAGTTGAGTCTGTACGGAACCTAGTAGTTTCAGATCCTTGTTTAACTTGCCGTACAGCAAGGTCATCCACTACTTTAGCCCGGCGAGGCACATAACTCCCTCTACAACTCCATATCAAATGTTTCATATATACTAGCCAAGTTCACAAGATATATCCTTGTGTTTGAGAAGAGCTCGTTAGAACTGCTTCCTGTCCAGTTACAGTTAGCTAGATGCTATAGTTAGCTAGATGTCCAGTTATAGTTAGCTAGATGCTATAGGAGTTGGCCAACAAAGGTGGTCTTCATTGCACAGGACTTGGTTCGTGCGTCATTGTACCTGTCAATTCATTCATAGTCACTCCTTTCTCCCTTACTTATGAAACAAAATGGCATAGCACAGATAGATTCATGTGCTCAAAGTTTACTGTGTACACAAATGAAATATTTTCACTGACGAACACCTTTTCTCACGTTATATTCATCGTGTTTCTTCTTGTCTGGTGTCCTAGTGATACTGTTAAGTCATGTTTTGTAATAGTTGGTTAGTGTCATGTAGACTGTTCAGAAAGCCAGAGAATGGTCTACGTACTATTGTCCCGTTTTTCTAACTGTCCCTAATTTGTATCAGATTTCGATCATCTGCGTAAAAAAATAAACTTTGATGTTGATGAATCAGGCCCTGATTTATTTCTAAACCAGTTTCAGTTTCTTACCCGTATTCTATTTCAGATAATCGCTATCGATCCCTACCATTCTGTCTGGCAGCGAGTCCGGAAAGAATCCCTGGCCGGCGCTAACCGTTCCTTCACCTGCAAGCTGGATCCTCCATCTTTCTACAAATTCCAATGGTCCATGACACCGACCCAACAACAACCACCTCCCCACCACCACCAGCAACCACATCAGCCTCCCGTCTCTCGCGAGATCGCACCACCTGTCTCGCGCGACATCATCCCTCGGAAGGTTCCCGAAGTTATCGACCTCACAAAAGACTCACCCCCAGTTCCCATCAAACCACACGAGCGGAAACGCACTTCCGCCGCCTACAGACATCTTCACAGTATCGTAACTTTAATAGAGCGAGACAGAGGCAGAAGGAGACCACCTCACGATATCCTCAAGATGAAACACGCTCAGCAGAAGCGGCTGAACGAGCTGCAAATGCTGGAAACACTAGCCCGGACAAACAGCTTCACGGCCCTCAACAACGAGCTAGCCCATCTAAACGTCAACCACTCCCTCTCCAACACCCAGTCCTGTATTAATCAGCTCCAATACGCCAACTATCCCTTCCTCTACAACACAGACGTGAGCGACTTCAACTTGCCTGGCCTGATTCTTCTGCCCGACAGAAGAATGTCATTTCCCATGTTCAACTTGGACCATCTGGCGGGAAATGGAGGAGTTCCCTCGCCTAACCTGCCCATGGTAGTGCCGGTAGTGCCTCGAACGGATCACTGGGTGTGAATAATAGGATTCTAATTATAAGATTATTTAGTAATTAATTAAACAAACACTGATTTGTTGGTCACGTGACTCATGTTATTGTTGTGGAAATGTACAGGCAGGTTTGTGAAGGAGGAGAGGAGAGATTTTTAGGTTTAAACTCGTTAAACGTCTTGAGGACATACACATCGTGGAGGGTTTGGTGGCGTCGTGACATAAACAATGACGTCATCACATAAACAATGACGTCATCATGAACAATGACGTCACCAAGAATTGATTCATTGGTCACGTGACTGTTGTGTCGGAAAAACGTGGCGGAATTTCAATGTAAATATCGAAAAATGCGAGGGTTCTTCTGTTCGCATTTTTAAGGAGCGAGCAGCGTTTGGAATTGGATACAGATTTGAATTCATTAAATCTACATGTTGGTTCGAATATTAACTTGCTTCTTTTACGTGTAAGTTATCTAAAGAAACTCCAAGTTATTTGCGAGATGGAGATAGAAAGTTATTGAAACGTTAAATTAAATTTAGGTGCAGCAGGATGCCTCTCTTAGAGGGCAAAACCTAGATCCCATCTGCTGTATATCGGTGTAGTTACTTGGAGTTTCTTAGAAAAGTTTTATCAGATGATAAAAAATAAAAAAATAAGTTTGGCCGGTTCTGTTCATCACTTTATGGTATAGTATTAGTTTTATAAATATCTTTACCGTAGAATGGCAGTGTGTCGCTGTCACGACACTGTTCGGGCTCGAAATTAAAGCAACTATGTTCTCAAACATTCCCTCAACTGATCGTATTCAAAACTTCCAAGTGTGGCATATTTCGAGCCCAAACACCAGGAGCTTAAACATGGCCAAATTTTGTGATTCGCGAGTTTTGGGGTTGTCATGGTTTTCCAGCATCACGTCGTGTGGTCACCCTGGTCAACGTCCTGGATTTTCACGCGAGTGTAGCAAAATTTTGATCAAACGGTGTTGATTCACTTCTTTAAATTTTTATTTAGCTAGGATTTAATGATATTGTCTTATGTATTTTCGTTGCCACAGTCGCGAAGCTATCCTAGAAATAAAGATATGTAGTTATAATTGTTCGCAACAACGTCATTAGTAATCAATGTAGATGTCCGGCTTTAAGCCCCTTTACCTTAAGTATAGACTGTAAGGCTTTGAGAAAAACGATTTACAATGTATTTTAAATCATTCAAATTTTCTCCTGCTAGCAATATACTCAGCTGAAGGAGAGTGATATGGTATAATATTCGTTAAATCGAAGGTTTTTGTAAACCTTGAAAAAAACGTGGTGTTATGATGTACGTCTTGTAATAGAATATGGTTATTATAAAAAAGGAATAATTACTGATTTGTATTTCTTTTGATAAAACGTATTCCCGGGGGTATAATATTAATATGATATAATTGGTGATATTATATTAAACGTTTTGTAAATCACTGGTTAAGTGGCCCTATAAAAACCGGTTCAGTTTATGTAAACTTGAACAAAAAAAATGATTTTTTTCCGTGCGATTCAATTTTAATGGTGGTTTACATGCGTTAAAATTTGTGTTTGGAAAAAATGATATTATATTCTCTTTCGCAGTTGGACTTGGTAGCGACGGATTTGTTATAAATTATCATAACTAACTGCTTAAATATCATAGTAAGCCCAAATAATATGTGTTAGACAGTATTTGTTATTAACGAAGGAGTGCTAACAAGATCGTAGTACGGTTTTAATGAATTAGAATGTAATCTGTTTTGAGAAGAGAGAATGTCAAGAATACAGATTGTTTTTATCTTGTGTAGAGTAAAAGGCTGTTTCTGAAACTTTGAAAACGATTTAAAACATTTCCTTGTGGTTTTAAGAAATGGTCTTTCTTGGGTAATTGGAAGGAGTGATGGTTTACGTAGTTTATCTGTCGAGACATTGATAAACTTTATTAATGGCTACGAAGTAACATAATCTGAAGTATGATCGGTTGTATTTTGTGTGAAGTTTACTTCAGCCACAAGCGGGTCATACCGGTTGTATTTTAAGCACGCTACTCTAAAATTCCCATGTTAGTACATATTTTAGTGTTCGAACCTAGAGTATTATACAAAGAATAGGAAAGAGGGCCAAAATTGACATAACATGTGTATGAATGAGTGAATGGGAGTAGCAGTTACCAATAGTACCGAGTCTGAAGTTATTATTAAGGAATGTTCTATTTATTTCCTGCATATTTTAGTTCGGCGTTTCCAACATGACAGCCACTTACCTAATCGCATTAATCAGAATTTCCAACATTTACCTCGAATAAAAATTAAAGAAAATCACGAAGGAAACTTGTTGGGATTCGAAATTTGACAAACTGCTCGTCATTTCACTTTCAGACACGTGTTATGCCGTCAGAGTTTGAGATCGAATTTTGGAATCGGTTAAATTTTATGAAGTCGAAATAGCTTGTACACTGTGTTATGAATTGTATTTATATTTCCCTTATATGGTAGTTTCATTTCTCCAACACTCCGAATTGAAAAAGATACAACTCAATAAATTTGTTATATCTAATTGTAAAATTAGCTCAGAAAGGTTGCTACTTGCTGTGTTTGCAACTAAAATATCGAATATTCACATACCAAAAAAAAACTCAGCCGCAGCCCAATTCAATTATCAATATATTATCAAACAATTATCAATTAATTCAATGCAGCAAAATGCTAAAATAAAAATAAAAATAAAAATCTATCAACTAGTAGTACTATCCCTATCAACAGATAAAATCCCCTTAAACCAATCAACCGAGTCCACGCAAAACACTCCGATTTGAACAGCTCTGTTATAAAGAACAGTTTTGAGGGGTTTACAAATAGAGAGTGTTACAACAGGTGTTAGGGTGTAGTACACCAGGTGTAGGGTGTAGCTGATGGAGCGGTGAAGTGGTACTGCCACTACCGGTCCCACTAGGAGGGAGGAGGGAGGATTCAGGATGTTGTGGAGTGTTACTATCGCGTGTTGGACCTGGCAGAGAGTGGGTTTAGAGAATTTAGAGAGTTTAGAGAGTTTAGAGAGTGGGCTAGATTATCAGATCTAAGTTAAAGACCATTAACTTATGACGATGGTACCATTTTTATACTCTGTCCTTTCCGTTAGCAATTTTACAGTGAGTATTGTGTGAAAATTACATTGGTGTCAGCTATAAAAGTTGCTGACGTTAGTAAACTATACTAACTGCAACTAGTTGCCGGGGAGGTTTGATATCTTTAAAATACATGCCAAGCAGTATTATAAACAACGCTAATTTTCATCAAACGAACAAACCTATATAGTTATACAGCCATTAATCTTGTGCTGCGTAAACTAATTACGTTTATTAGGTGAATTTTGTACCAACTTGAAATACTAAGAATAGAACTGAGTAGATGAGAAGCAGGACATTAGTTGAATATCCCTCTGAGAAACTCTCTCCAGTGCTCCTAGAAGTTGTATTTTGTGACATATTACCAAGAACAGCTTCTGTAGAACCGTTCTCTCGAACAGCACCTGGAATAGTTTATAATTGGTGATGGCAAGTTGCTGAATTAACCAACACCATCTTTTAAACTGAACATCAATTATGATAAAACAGCGCGGGTGGGACGGACCTGTTGAGGGATTGATCGGTTCCACTTTGGTACGCTCTATAGTGGAAATCCTTTCTAAAAGCCACTTGTCAATGGGCTGATCCAGGCCGGATTTAGAAGCTTTGCCCTCACTCTCAGTGGCCTGAAAACTGTCAGTGAATCGGGAGGAAGTGAAGGAAGAATGGTGATCTCTGCTGGATCCTGGTGCTGGACAAGAAGGCCGAGTGGCCGTGTTGTCGGGTGGAGGGCGAGATGGTAAGGGAGGAGGATGTCCGCGAACAGTAGGGGATGGTAGCTCCCCTGGTGGGAGTTGAGAGGGGAGTGGAGGTGGCTGGTCGCCGGGTGGTGTGTTCCCTGGTGGTGGTGAAGCGGGAAGTGGTGGCGGTTCACCGGGAAATGGAACAGAGGAGGTGGTCGACTTTTTTGATCTCATTGAAAGTTGGAGAGATTTTGGTCGGTTTGGTTGAGTATAAATGTCTCCTCGTGGACTTGTTGAACTTGTTCTGATTGGGAAATCAAGGGTCAGTTTCAAGCCTTGTAAACAGTCTTGAAGACAGAAGAACCGTATCAAGTTATTATACGAATTTAGTGAAGTAATCTTGTTAATTTATTGGATCTATTTTAGTTGTTATTAGCTTATTTAGTTACCTGGCCGAAATGTTTGACTTGAATGGGGGAGGTGGAGGGTGAAAGGTCGGGGTTGCTGGAAGGGACCCTTCCGAGTCGTAAACATCAAAAGTCTTGTTTTCCGAGTCACCTACCATTGTTGATTTTATAAATAAAACAGTCTTATTGAATTATTGTAAGACGAAGACTTAAACCTTGATGCATAAAATTTAGAACAAAATACAATGAGTATTGAACGAGAAAATTTAAATAGAAGATAAGGGGTCGTTCACATATTACGTAATCAGCTGAGGGGGGGGGGGGTTCGAATGATTACGCTAGTGTAATTTTGACACAATAGCTATGTGTAAAACTGATTACGGAGGGGGGGGGGGGGGTAAAAATGTTCCAAAAAATGATTACGTAATATGTGAACGACCCCTAACCTTGACTACCACTCCCAGATTTGCTCCTCATTAACATCTTGGTGATTGTTTTACCCGTACTCTCAGTTGGTTGAGACGGCAGTCTCTTTATTGAGCTCACTGAACCTTCAAAGTTTATCGACTCAATGCTGGTACGGGAGACAATACTATGTTTTGATTGTCTGAATGACTTGTGAAGTGCGGCCATCATGTCCTGTGAATTTAGTTATGATTAGTTATTTAATCATTAATCAATGATTCTGTTAATTACTGAGTGAATAGAATGAGCTCATCAAGGTCCATTCGCTCTGGGTTCCATGAAGAGAGAGTCTTCAACTCACTAGTATTATTCTAGAATAACCAAGCTTCAATCATATTACCTGCATAAAGTCCTCACTTTGAGGCAGAATGAAATCCAATTCTAAATCAGAGTTGGATTCAGTTTCACTCGAAGATGAAGAACCATTTTTTGATTTATCTGTTTCATCATCATCTCCATTGTCTATCACTTCGCCTTCACTGGCTGTAAACGAATCATGATCACTATCCTCGTCAGTTTTATCTAATTTATCGAATATTGAGTCGCTAGATATACTTGATCTATCTGATTTCTTCTGTAGTCCAGCGAGCTGGTTGTTACTGTTGAGTGAAAGTTGTGTCAAGTCCGTCAACCCCTCCCATTTATTGGACCTGTAAAAATTATATAATGATATAATGTATTATAGATTTGAACATACGCTCGCTGGAAAATACTTGGACATGTCCTTCGCAGTGACTGCTCATCACCAGCTCAGAGCTTCAGAGAGCCCTTCAATTTGCTGTTAATGCGTTATTTACCATGAAAGGACGTGTTGGTCGACACCAAAGTAATCTTTTAAAGTTTATTATAATCGATTTGAATAAAAGAAACCTACCATTACGTGATATTAATGATCTTTATGATCTCAGGGCTACTGCCTCTAACAGAGTTTTGTGGAGAAAATTATTTACCTCATAATTAACCTTTATTTTTCAGAGAACTGTTATGTTTTTTTGGGCACTTATCAGTCTCTTAAGATGTTTCTTTACTATTTCGAGATTGTTTTAAAAGTTAGATAATAGATTTGAACAGATATTTGTTGACCGGCAATATTTCCTCAGATATCAGAATAAATGAGTAGACACTGTCATGACTAGACTGTCAAGTAGATTGTCATGATGATCTAGTTAACTGCTAATTTGTATCGCAACCACAAATATGCGCCCAATTTAAATTAAATTCTTGTCTGGCATATCAAATGTTGGTTTATTAAAACCAACATTTGATATGACAGACAAGAACAGGTTAAATTCTAAATTCTCTTTAATCAAGTCATAATTTAATTAATATTAAACTTATAAACTTACGTTAAGTTATTATCAAATGCTGGGTTCCTGAGCACGGAGCCACCTTGAGACTGGGTACTGGGCACGTTGCCACCTTGAGACTGGGTACTGGTGACACTTTTAATAACTGTCTGCTCGTGATAAACTTGTACCTGAGGTTCAGGTTATTTAATATTCTTATAAGGTTTAATCACAATTATGAGGACTAAAGTCTCTTGTTTGGGAAATTGGGTGATTCTGAGGAATTTCAACAAATCTAGCATTCTGACGAGGTTCCTACTAAAGAATGTTTATAGAAGCAACATAAATCTCACTTCAGCTTCTTTCCTTTTGTTCTGTCGAGTCTTGAGGAAGATAGCCAGAAAGAAGGCTGACAGAGAGACAACTGGGACTGCTACCAAGACACAGAAGAACCCAATAAATACTGACTCTGAAATAAAACTACATGATCATTGTCGCCACACCGTACTGCGAGTTGATTAGGTATTGAACGTAGGGTATAACTTTATAATTATTACTATAAACAGCAGTCAGCAGAACTAACTTACACGAATACATTAATCTTATTGAAACAGAAAACAAACTTACGGCTGATATTGGTCCAATCTTTAAACTGACATTCTCTAGTCAGATGGATATTGAGGAGAAAGGACACGAAGCCTGCAATCACCCAAGGGACTAAAAGAATAATCCTCAATGTGTTCAAACGAACATGAACCAGAGTTGTCAAGGGTCTTACCGCTGACATGAACCTGGTGTGATTTTATTACTTTAGAGGATATTACATAATAATATGATCATATTGATTGTTGGAGGAATGATAATCGGTGGATGTGCCAGAAAATTTGATTCCACGGCCATTTTATTTACCATTATTCAAAATTGCCGTTTAAGGGTATTTATTGTCATTGTAATGTATAGTAATGTAATGTACTGTAATATATACAATGTATAGTATTGTAATGTATAGTATTGCCATTGTAATGTCCTTCTTAAAGGTTTATACCTGTAAAGTCCGAAAAAGAAGAGGAGAACTGAACTTGTGGAAAAACAGAGTACTCCCACTATCTGCTCAGCTCGACAAAGGTTCTCAGTTGATGACGTCATAGATTGGGAATGTGACGATATTTCTACCAGGGATATGCTGAACAACACCGCACATCCTGAAGGTAGGCTTGTTAGCTGAATTTATGCTGGGATCAGAATGGAGATGGCTCAAATTATATGAACCTCGCATAAGTCGCAACCAAAATATTATGATAAAATAACATATCAATAAAATATGACTTTTTAGACAAAATCCCACTGAATATCTAGTAGATAATATTGAGTTAATAGTAGATAGAATTACGTAAGTAGTAGATAGTATTGCGAGCCTACCCGTAAGAGAAACAGCACTAGTATGACAGATAAACTCGTTGTTGATAGTCCTGAGACTAGGCGTCAGGAGGGTGAGGAGGAAGACTATCATGTTGAGCAGCAC